TCAGGCAGGAGATCCTTGTGGGGGGCGGGGGGCGGGGGGGGGGAGAAACAATGCAGCCTTTATTTGAGAAAGGGGAGGAACTGCTTTGGGAATTAGGGGCCTCATACTGACTGGGGACACAGGAAAATAATGGAGTGTGTATAGATTTCCTAGGTTGTATAGTATGTATGAAATAGATGGCTTTGTTGCTGGTATTTGGATCCATTTAGGAAAAGACTTGGCTGGCAGCAGCTCACCTTTCCCAGCACTGCCATTTGCCCATGGATTGCTCATGAGCCAACTGCTTTTATGTCCCTTGAGAGCTCAGATAGGAATTCCATTAGATTATCTGATCTGAATTTTGAGATTATGGTATCCTTAGGTACCCTGTAAGGCAATATGTGTCTGAAAAGAAGGCTCTGCACTTCACTTTCCAGTTTTCACAGGTAGGGAAAAGGTGTAACCTTTCAACTAACCATGAAAAATTTCTAGGGCATAAACATTTTACACGAAGCACTATTGGCTTGTGGCCATTTTGTTCAACATTAATATTTCTACATGTCAACAAAACACCAAAACATTGATGTCTGGTCTTTGATGATTGCCAGACAGAAGAAAGGGCTGAGTTTCCAGATAAATTATTCACAGCCGAGGAGCAGCCCAGCTGCAGTCTGGCTCCATTAGTAGATGGTTAGCATTGCAAAAAGCCCATCTCTCCAGCTATGTTAAACTATGTTGTACAATGGAATATCCAGCTATATACTTAATCAAGAGGAAAGGGAATGGAGTGAGACTTTTGTGGCCACCACATTCATGCTTGAAATGGTGGTATTAACCTTTGGCTGTTCAGTTTCTTATCCAAGAGGAGGCTTTTGTAGTTATCCTAGGGATAGAAGAGCAGTTGAAGGGGCCCCAGCATTGTGCATTAGTCAGGTGTTTTCCTTGCTTCTGAGATGAGCAACTTCTGTCACACCAGCCAATTTGCTACTTAAGTTCTTTCTGTACTTTCTGACTTCTTCCTATGTTTCTCAGTGAGGCCTTGTGTAAGAGGAAGTAGGTATCTTCTTGAATGTGTTGTTGGCAATAAAAACAATGTAAATAAATAAAAAAAGAAAAGAAAAAAGGAGCTGAGCCTGAACCCCTAGGGGCCTAGCAGAGTTTCTACCGTGAGAGGACTGTATTTCATTGGCTGCACATGGAGTCCTTTATGATAGCCAGTAACTTGCTCCAGAGCAAGTAATCTTAAAGAAACTCTAGCACAAGTACTGGCTGGCAAAAGGGGATCACGTTGTTACAGAAGGCCAGTGCTATCTTGTAGTCCCATTCTTGGACACAAATTATTTGTTTGCTTTATAGTCTGTGCTTCTTGCTGAGACTCAGGGTGGATTACAAAATATAAAACAGTGCAATCAGGCGGTCTAAGAGCCAGTAAACAATGTAATAGGACCAGGATTGCAAAATTAGAAAACAGTGCAAACAAAAAATAGTATAAGACATAACATACCATATACAGTGCAGAGAATAGAATTACAAATGTGGCGATGCAGTAAAGAGCAAAATATTCCTATTTGAATTTTAAAGGGAATTTTTGGGCTAGCCATTAATAAAATAGCTTTGTCTACCTGGCAATAAACCCCGGGTGAGATAAAGGAATGCTGTGGGGTATTTAAAGCAACCCCTCCTCCTGCCTTTGATTCTATTGTTGTAAAGTGGCTAGGTTTTGCTGGGTGCACCATCTAATAGAGAGGCTGAACTCCGGGAGGCAGTGGTATGCCTCTGGGTGCAGGATGTGGGAACAGGAAATGGCTACTGTTGTGTAGATGCACGGACAGGAAGTGGCTACTGTTGAGATTCTGGAGCACAGCTGTCTAGAATAGGTCAGCACTTGTAGGGCCACTCCTAACTATTAGGAAGCAATATGGTCTTGGTGCAGGCATTGTGTCCAATGTTGCCTCTAAGCTGAGTTAGTGTGAGCTAGCTCACAGGTTTTTAGCCTCCAGCTCACACATTTTAGTCTTAGCTCAGGAAGGATGGCTCCAGAGCAAACTAATTTATTCAGTAGCCAAATCATTTGCACAGTAGCTCATAAAGTCGAATTTTTGCTCACAAGATTCCAAAGCTTAGAGGGAACATTGTAGTCCATTGGAGTCTTACCCTACTGAGGCCGTGACTTCAGGTGTGGCACAAGGAGTCAGTGGATTTTGCAAGGCCATAAAGCACATCCAAGAAAACAGCTTCATTTCTCCTGTACTACAACAGGATACTGCTGGCTGAGTTGTCTTCTGCTGTTGGGCCCTATTCATTTGTGTACTTTGGTGGATGTGCCTTGTGCTGGCAGATGAGATACCGACACAATGAGCTGGGCATTAATACCAAATGCTTCCTCCCCACCACCATGCATACCATGTAACATTTTATCTTCCACTTGTGTGAATTAGGTCTAAGTGAGGATTCCAATTGTCTAGTAATGTAAATATTTTGCCCATGTGTGGTAGATGGTATTCCCAGCTGATTAATTTAAATATAGAAATATGGTCTTGTGAATACTGCATTAGAGAAGAGTTCCCCAGTCCAGCCCTACGATGTCACCCCACTGCGCTCCCATTTTGCAACCATCAGAGAAACTTCCATAATAAATAGGCCCTTGGTGGGGATGTGAAGAACTGTACAGTGGATATTTCCCCTTTCCCAAAGCATAATCATTTGAGATGGCAGTGAGTTCTGGAGTTGACTGGCTTCCTGCTCAGCCTAGAGCCTCAGAAGTCTAAGAGTTGCTCGTCTAGCCCAGAATGTGAGTTTTATAGTGTGGGAGTTTACTTCTTTCTCTCCCTTCCCATGATGTATTGGGTGGGGGAGTGGACATGTATCCTGTCACATCAGTCATTGCAGGATGCTCTAAGCATGCCACTCTGCAAAATCTACCTATGAAGAATGTGTCATGCTGACAAACAAAACACAGGAGAGTTAAGGGTTGTACTTGGCCAGATGCTCTGGGAGCAAGCAGAGCATCAGTAGTGCTGCTGACATCTCAGGGGCTTGGGTTGTCCCTAGGATGAAGAATTAGCCAGGTACTCCAAGCAAAATGATCTGGCATGTCAGAAGCTTTTACCCCTGCTCTGTAGCAGAAGCTCTGTCTTCTTTGCAACTTATGAGGGGGGGGGGTGTTTTGGGAAGGGGAATTAATTGGGACTAGAGGGAGGGCTTTTCCTATGATCCTAATTATCCCCTCCTCCTGAATCAACAGGATACTCTAGGCTTCAACATGGTCAGAGCCCTGAAAACATTTATAACATCCTAAACTGCACTGTGATAAGAAAATGAAGCTGTGAGAAACCTGTTTCATGTTGCACATCAGTTAGCCCTAATTTCTTTCTTTAAAATATGTATATTTCATTTTTAAAACAAAATGTTCACAGGGCTGGTTAGAACACATTTTTAAACCATATAACCAAACTTGCAAATACAGATGTGTAAAGTAGCATGATCCAAACACCAAAATTACAAATACAGATGCATAAAGTAACATGATCCAAACACCAATAGCAGCGGCAAACAATCTTGTATAACCACCAAAACTCTGGGTGACTGGCAAATCAACAGAATAGCTCCTAGGTGAATGGGTGTGAGGTAGAAGTTCTACACTGAGGCATCATAACTGAGAATGCAAGTCTCTGAGAGCCAGCCCCCTGCCACTGATGATGGGAACACACTGAGCAGAACTCAGAAAAAAGTTCCCAGGAAGCAGGCAAGTGCATATGGGACCAAGGGAATTTCATTTTCTTCGATTGCACTTGCTCTCTCTTACTTGCACTCTCTTATTTTATACTTCCTTCAAAGTGTTCAGGGCAGCTCTCATGCATATCTGCTCCTCCATCTTGTCCTTATAACAACTCTATGAGGTCAGAGAAGCTGGAAGGTAATGACTGGCCCTTTGTTGCCCAATGAGCTTTATAGCTGTGTAAGGTTTTGAATACGGGTCTGCCATCCTAACTGCTGTGAACACTGTCTCTTCATTTAGAAGAAGAAGAGACGAAATTGGATTTATACCCTTCCCTTCACTACGCAAGGGAGTCTCAGAGCGGCTTACAAGCTGCTTTCCCTTCCCCTCCCCACAACAGACAACCTGTGAGGTAGGTGGGGCTGAGAGAACTCTGACAGAAACTGCTTTTTTTCAAGAACAGCTGTGCCAGAACTACGTCTTGCCCAAGGTCATTCAGCAGGTGCAAGTGGAGGAGTGGGGAATCAAACCCGGTTCTCCCAGATTAGTCCGCGCACTTCACCACTACACCAAACTAGCTCTAAAGGGAATGGGACTGTGAACTATATTACTGTATATAGTATGTATTAGCTGTATTATCTGTTTGCTGTATGTGTTATTCTGCCGCCATGCATTGTCTTATACTTATATAGTATCCTTTTCTGCATATTGTGGTCAATATTTTTTGCTGTTTCAAATTTCTGTAATCTTGTTCCACTTGCATTGCTTCTTAGATGTCATATCCTATTGATTGCATTGACTTACACTGTGTAATCCGACTTGAGTCTCTATGAAAAAGTAAATTAAACTGCGTCTGAACATTCCATGGCTGCTTTGGGTCCTCAGCAATCCAGGCTAATGACAATGAGCAGGCTCAGTCCTTGTCAGGACTTTTTTTGTGTGGAGGAATATCTTTCTGTTTTAATTTACACTGTTAGGTTTCTGCATTCCTGGGGAGTCCCCCTAGTTAAGCAGAAGTGCCCAGTTTGTCGGTGGGTGGTTTTACTGATTGGCATGGGATTTTTCAAACATCCGAACAGAGGCAAAGGAGCAGGGTATTCAAACCAGCTGATGTCTCACCATACAGTGACTTGACTGTGGCTTGTAAGCCGTGGGCATGTCACCATAAGTAAGGCATGGGGCATGTGAGGCAAGAAAAGCTTGGGGGTCCCAGCTTACTCTCCACCAGTGCTCTGCTGTCATGAGGCCAAGTCATTGTTAAAATTGAGAGGGATGCTGCTGATAAGATCAGACGCTCTTGATGCATGTGCAGTTGTACCTTAGTTCCAGCATACCTTTTTCTTCCCCTGGAAAGATCCAGCTTGAGACAGCAGGATTTCAAAGTCAAAGTGGAATGTCCTCTCTTGAATAGGGGTCATGCTGATAAGTATTCTGTTCCAAATTCTGTAGAACTGGGGGTGTTTCCGTTTTTAAAAGTGCAATGAGCGCTGAGTGACTTGTGTGCCTGTATGTGCTATAAACCTTTGAAGGAGCTAAGGACTTAAAAAGGCAATTGGATCTGGGAAGAAGGGGTAGGCAGGTTTGGCGCAAGGGCTCACTTTCTCATGAAATGCCAGGAGCTGAGCCTGGCTAATGTCTAAGCTGTTATGGGAGAGATAAGAGAGGCCCTGGTTCCCAGGGAGGGAGGCAATGCTCTCCTTGGTTTGTTCTCCACGTGACCCCTAAATCTGCTCATGAGTACCATGCAAGGGACTTGACCCCTTTTCAGTTTTGCTCTTAAACTGCTGGTAAGTGGGATGCTCTCTTTTTCCTCCTTAGAACACCCTTGGCTGGCTGTCCTTGTGGAGTGCCAGTCCTGCAGCCCTTTGGGCTGAGCTTGTTCCTTCCCAACGGCCAATATTTCTCCATAGAGAGAAATTATGTCAGGAAGATGATTGGAGTGAAAGAGCTGGCTGAAGTAGTTTAGAATTGATATCCATAGCCATAGCATAAGCATGCACAGTCATACTGTGGGAAGGTGGGAGAGAGTTGGCAACTTATTTTCGAGAGCGAATGTTGTCACAACTGGGGTAGGGGAGAGTGTGGGTGGTGAGAGGGGGTAGCACTTGCTTCCCTTTAACAAACAGTAAGTCTCCCTTTAAAGAGTGATGTCTTGAAGTTGCTGTCAATTTGGTTATTTGTTGGGATGCAGCTAGAAATGTCAAGACATCACAGGAAGGGGTGGGTGTTTGGGGGTTAATGAGCATTTCTTACAGGGAAGGTGCATTTCCTGACTCCCTTCTCTTTCCCCCCAATAGGCTCGGTGCCTGGGCCAGAGCCCCCTATGCTGTATCCCCCCTGATGCTGGCCAGCCTGTGCCCAGAAGATGAGCAGATTGCTGGTGGGGGTGACCCTGGAGAGGATCTGCAAGGCTGTACTGCTCCTGTGTCTACTGCACTTCCTCATCATCATGATCCTTTACTTTGATGTCTATGCCCAGCGCCTGGACTTTTTCAGTCGCTTCAGTGTGCGCAATGCCTCCCGCACTCTGCCCTATGTTAATATATCTCGGCCTAACAGCACTGCCGGGCCTCTGGGCCCCGAGCTCCCAGCCCCCAGTGCCAAGTCTGTCAGCAGCAACAGCACCATCACCGAGAAGCCCTTACCTCCCTGCCCGGAGATGCCTCCTGGCCTAGGTGAGACTGCAGCTTGGTCTTAGTGCAGATGAGCCCTTCAATTTTTGTGCCTTCTTGTATTGTCAGCCTGCTTTCTTGCTTGGCTACCTCTCCCCAGCCACAAATGAACCTTTTCAGTAGTTATCCAGCATTAGATCTCCTGAGTTTGTCTCTGCCTGATTAACACCTGTGTCCTCTAGCTTTGGGCAGAGGAGAGAGGAAGGAACCGAAAGATCTAGGCATATGCAGGACAGACAGTGTATTGCAAATCATGAATATGGCCTCTAGTAGACAATATGATCTTCATGATAGTGAAGAAACTATGAAAATATATGGGCAGAGTGTTTTGAGACTTGCATACTAAGGTGTGCTTTGTGTGACATATTTTATGGTTAGATGGTGGAATTTTCTATCCTTGATAGCATAGCTCCCTATCCCTTCCCAGAGTTCCTGGTCCTCACGTTCTTGGCCACATGGCACCTCATTCCTTCACATCTTAATCCACCCAATCTTTGCCAAAATAGCCCAAATTCTGTGAAAAACCAACCATACAGTATTATGCAATACTGCATAACGTATTCTGTGCAGAGCTTGGGTTTCGTCATTTCAATGTTTATAGCAGCACAAAGTGACATCCATGGGACAGGCTGTGGCTCACTGGCAGAGCATCTGCTTGGCATGCAGAAGGCTCCAGCTTCAATCCCTGAGAGAGAACCATGTTCCCTGAAGGACATCAAAACAACCTGTGCCAGCTGCACAATGTTAGATCTATGGGCTGACTGAGAGGATGGTACACTGAAGGTCGACTGCCAGTAGCACCTTTTAATGTTATAATTGTTTTATATTGTTTTAGGATTATCTAAATTATTTACTGTGTGTTTTATTCTTTTGTAAGCCGCCCTGAGCCAGCCTGGTGAATCAGATAATAAATAAATAAATCTCCAGTTAAAAGGATCAGGTAGGAGGTGATGTAAAAGACCTCCGCCTGAGACCCTGGAGAGCCACTGCCGGTCTGAGTAGATGATAATGATGTTGATAGATCAAGGGTCTGATTCCGTATAAGGCGGCTTCAGGTATTCATGTGTTCCCAGCTGTAGTGCGGAATCTTCCAGCCACTGGACATTTCTTCAGACAAAACAAAGCACTTTCCCTTCTCAGCTACTGAGACAGTAGTTATATATCATAGAATCATAGAGTTGGAAAGGACCTCCAGGGTCATCTAGTCCCAACCCATGCACAATGCAGGAAATTCACAAATACGGCTCCCCCCGGGCCAGGGACCACTGCTCTATGCCCAGAAGAGGGCAAACCCCCCCCCCAAACCCAGGATTGCTGGCCAAACTGGCCTGGAGAACAACAGCTTCCTGACCCCCAAAGTGTAGATCAGCATTTCCCTGAGCATGTAAGAAAGGGCCACAATATTTATTTAGAACATTTATATGCTACCTCTTTAGAAACCTATTCGGGATGAATCAGAACATAAATGATAAAAACATAAAATTATTGAAATTAACAACTATTATATACCAGCAAATAAACCTTAGAAGCATATAAGCATGTAAAAACTCAGATCATAAAACATTTGCCAGCCTAAATGATCCTTATAACAGTCCTTAAACTAGAAGCAGATGGTAAAAAACAATTAGAAATACCAAGCCCTAGTTTAAAAGCCTGCCCAGGGGTGGGGGGCTAACTGTTTTATGCTTGTACCTGAAAAGGGTAGGGAAGGCACCAGGCAAGCCTGAAGGGGGAGAGCATTCTGTCTGTTGCCCGTGAAGTCTGTGTTGGCCAGCATCAGACTGTCTTGCTACTGCTCCAGATGTAAATGAATGCTATCAGTAGCCTCAGGCTGTGATGATCATTCCGTATTGGAGATAGCAGTGCTACCATATGAATGACTTGACCAGTCTTGTTCAGTATTGTCTATTCTAATGAAGTGGCTCTTCAGGTTTTTAGACAGGGAGAGGATTTTCCCCCAACATCTCCCACTTAAGATCCTTTAACTGGCGATGCCAGGGAGTGAACCTGGCATACTTCGTATGCAAAACCATGTGATCTGTCACTGAGACTTTCCTTGACAAAGGTAGGTGATTGCATCCTGCCCTTTTCCTGCTTGCTGTGAGTGATGCTGATCCTGCCTTGTGTCGGGATAATTCTGAGCCAGTTATTTCACCCTGCAGTTGGTTGTGAAAGTATACAAGACCTTGTTTGCACCGATGGGCTTAATTGTGCTTTGCCTATTTGCTGCCTCTATGTCTGATACATGTTTGGGTTCTTGGGTTCCTTTTGCTGAACTTTTTCTAGGTAGAATTTGTCTTAACAGGGACATGAGGATATATCCTATTACAGATAAGTTTAAATTATAATAGGTCAACACTCTCCATAGTGAAAAGTAGTGTTAAAAGGTCTGTCAAAGATTAATATTTACCTGATTTATTGCTAAAAAATTTCTTCTCCAAAATATAAAGATATCCAGTACAATATTGAGATTAGTTAAATGTTGACTGTATATTTGTTCTTGATGATTGATGTATAGATTATGTTGTTATTAGTACTAACTATTTTTTGTTAAAATTGAAGTGGTTCTATCTTACTTTAACAGTTGTATGCATTTTTAATACTTCAATAAAAAAGTGTTGAAAATAAAAAGAATACAGTGCAGCACTTGCCCCAGACTGAGAGTTCCTATCTATACCTTGTGGCTAATAGCCACTGTTGGATCTCTGCTCCATATGCTTATCTAATTCCCTCTTGAAGCTGTCCATGCTTGTAGCCTCCACCACCTCCTGTGGCAGTGAATTCCATGTGTTAATTACTCTTTGGGTGCCCGCGAGTTCTTGTACTGTGAGAAAGGGAGAAAAGTACTTCTTTCTCTACCTGCTCTATCCCATGCATAATCTTATAAACCTTACAGCTTCCATTACTTTGTTTGTGCCTTTCCTAACCTGCGGTATATATTTTTTCTGAGCTTCTAGGATTGTAGTTTTAAATAGTCTCCAAGCTTCCCCAATGGTTTTGATCCTTTCTACTTTTCCTTTCAGTTTCCTCCTCACATGTCCCCTCATATCAGAGAAGTTACCCCTTTTAAAGTGTAGATAATTAACTCCCTTCTCCTGCAGTGGGCCGGCTCCTGATTGAGTTCAGCTCTCCAATGAGCATGGAGCGGGTGCAGCGAGAGAACCCAGATGTGCAAGAGGGTGGCAAATACTCCCCCCCAGACTGTGTGCCTCGCCAAAAGGTGGCCATCCTCATCCCCTTCAGGCATCGTGAGCACCACCTCAAGTACTGGCTGCACTACCTGCATCCTATTCTTCGACGGCAGAAGGTGTCCTATGGCATCTACATCATTAACCAGGTATGTGGGGAATGATGGTCTGTTGCCAGGGTGGGGGTGGCTGGGCTTAGTGTGGTGTAGGTAAGGCCTTTAGTGAAGCACTGTTGAAGCCCATTCTTCATGGACTTCTCTGCCCTAACTGGATGTGGAAGCTTTTGTGGGAAACAATGTGTGAGTTGTTACCAGTGGGTACTTTTTAATGCCACATTTTGCAAAGGCCTGCTGTTTGATGGGATTTTTTAAAAAAATCAGGGAAGGGGGGACAGTTTACACCAAAAAGTAACAAGGAGGTGGCCAGATCAGCTGGGTAAGTATAACAAGCGAAACACTCTTTGGAGCAGGGGTATCAAACATATGGCCTGGGGGCTGGAACTGGCCCGTCTATGTCTGTTATCTGGCTGGCAAGCATTGTGGTGGAGGAGGGTGGTGGCAGTGGCAGCAGCAAGAGCAGTGAAAAGAACCGTGTCAGGTCTGCTGTTTGGAGGGTCCTCCCCCCCTTCCTCTCTCTCTTGGTTGGGCCAGGCTGCACATGTGCAGCCACTGCCCTCCTCCTCCTTCTGTCAGAGGCGGGGAGTCACCACCTCCCCATCAGTGTGTGTGTGCACTGGGCCTCCCCTTCGCTTCAGAAGCTGCTTCCTTCACCATTGTCATTGCCACCTTCTTCTTCTCTGCCCACCTCTCTTGCTCTTTCTTTGCCATGATATCAGAGAAGCGGCCATTGGGAGGAGGGAAGGTAGAAGGGTGGTGGTGGTGGGAGCTGCTAATGGAAATGTGCATTAAGCGAAGTGTAGGAATGGGAATGCCAGAGTGTGTCTGGGGGGAGGGGTATAAGGGACTGGAGGTATAGAAAGGAAGGGTTGAAGTGCGTCCAATGGTGTGTGTGGTGGGAACTGCTCTTGGAAAGCTATGGGAGGGGAGGAGAAATATAGCTGTTCGGGTGAGGGAAGGTGCTGAGTGTTCGTGTTTCGGGGGGTGGAATGCAAGAGCAGGGATGTAGTTGGAGGCTAAGATAAAACAGGAGTCTTGAGCCCCCTTAAAGACTTCATGAGATTTTGTTGCAGCATTTTTATTTTCTAGGCATCTGTACCTTGCTTTTCTCCCCAAATGGGGACCCAAAGTAATGTACAAGTATTGTTCTCCCCATCTATGTTTTTGTTCTCACAACAACTGTGCAGGGGGCATGTTAGGCTGAGAGAGCAACCCAACTTCCATGGCAGAGTGGGGCTTATGAACCTGGGTCTCCCAGTTGCTAGTCCCCATGCTCAAACCTGAGTGTATGTGTGTCTCTGTGGAAGGTCAGGTCTCTAAATGGGACTGAAGTGCAAGGAAAGGCGTGGTCAGTGGGAGCAGACTCAAGATTTGGGGGAGAGTGGATGGGTCTGGATGAATCACACAGAGGCAGGAGGGGAAAAAGGACTGATTTAGGAGTTCTGGTTATTGACAGGTGGCTGGTGAATCCACCTAGGGTTCATTAATTTTGTGGTGGATTGAGCATGTGCTAAGGATGGTGGCTCCAGTTCCTTGGAGAGTTTATATTATATACTAGCCTGATACCTGTGCTTCGCTATGGTATTTAAGTTCCGTAAATCCAGTTATAATACTGATGTGAAATTTGAAATGTGACATTTGTTGTAGGAATTCTAACAGAGAAGATTGTAGTGTAAGAAATGAAGTGAGGCGTAGGTATTTTTCTCTCTCTCTACTGAAGGACCTCTCTCTAGACCACATTGGTGGTTCTGCCCTCAGGTGCTAGGATGACCAGGCTGCTTGGTGAGCTCACTCTGGAGCAGGCAACATAGAACTGTCCATTTAAGAAGCAGTTGTCATTTAAGAAGCAGGGGTCATGTTTCTCAGAAATCTCTTCATGGGGGGGTTGACGTCATGGTAGGAATGTACTCTCCTTATTTTGGGGTTCTTGGTGCAGGGGTTTGGCCTGGGCATTGAATTTGGGGGGAGGGCATACCCCCATTCTTTTTTTTACAAAAATCCTTCTCATTTATGTTACATTTTAGAACTGGGACATCACTACATATTCAAAACACCATCCAAGCAATCAGATATTAAGCAAGTTCATATGAACCAGTTTTCTAGAACCCACATTGTGAGAAGTTAAATAACCTAATAAAGGGAACCAGTTTTCTACAAATATGGAGTATATTTCCATTGTGGGTGTGAGTGTGGCTATGCTGGGTCAGCAGCACCGCTAAGGTGATCCTGCTGGGGCGGTATCCCTGCTGGATTAAAGTACCCTGGTCCTGCTCCTACACCTGACAGACACCAGCCTGTCTGGTGTTGGGGGGGTTATGTTTAAAGGTATCACGGAGGCTGGGCCAGCAGCAGAGCTGTCCTGCTGAGCAAACCTTCCCGGTGGCTGTAAGCATCCCACCTCCTCTCCGACACCTGACAGACAGCTGCCTGTCCAGTGTAGGAGGGGGGAGGAGTATTAGAAGCCACTGTGGAGGCTGGGCCGGCAGGATCACTAAGGCGTTACTGCTGGGGCGGGCTCCCTCAGGGCTTTAAGCACCCTGCAACTGCTGCTGCACCTGACAGACAACTGCCTGTTAGGTGTAGGAGGTGGGAGGAGTGTGTTGGAAGCCATCAAAGAGGCTGGGCCAACAGCATTACTGCACCTCACAGGTGGTTGTTGGCCGTTCCTGATTTCCTCAGCTGTCATTAGCTGTCTGCAAACTCCTGTAACTGTTGGGGTTTTTTACCTCAGAACACTGAGCTCTGCAGCTGACCAATCAGAGAGTGGGGGGGTGCAGGGAGGCAGTAGCCTGGCAGCTGCATAGGAATCAATGGGGGGAGCACATTTTCCCCCTTTTGACCCCCTTAGGGGTTGAATTTTTAAAAATCTCTTCTTAGCAAACACCTACACCACGGTAGGAGCACTCCTATATATATATATATAGATATAGATATAGATATAGATATATGTTTTGGGGTGGACCTCTCTAAGTAGGGATGAAACCTGCTTCACACACAAAAATGCTCCCAGGGTTGCAGAGAAAAAGTTTCTGATCTAGTGTAGTGGGGAAGTGTATTTTCAGATTGGGAAGAGGACCCCTGGGATAACTTGTGCTGGGGATAGACAGCAAAAGTTTCTCTAAGGTGAGAGCCTATTCAAGGCAGATTACACATAGTGAGTCAATACAGTCGACAAAATGGGACACTTACACTGGTCCCCACCTACCAATGAAAGGATGCTACAAATCGCAGGTAGGTGGGGGAGCAGTGTGATACTGTACTGAAGTATAAGCTTTCTGAAGTTGGCATTAGCAAATTTTACCAGTTTCAGGGTCCGAATTACCCCCAATTTAAGGCTTTTGCTTCAAACATTCTGTCTGTGTTCGGGACAACATGTCTGTGAACAGCTCTTTTCTGTAATAAAGGCCAATATATCAAAAGTATGTTCTCAGCTTACAGATGTACACCTAAACAGCATACTCAAGATTGCTACAGCAGAGACATTGACTCCAGATTTTGATACAATGATTTAGAACAAGAGGTGCCCGTTATCAAAGACAATTAAATAAAGGAATACTGTAAGAGTGTTAATGTTTTAAGTATGCTTGTATTTTGAGTAAAACATAATATTGTTAATTGGGTTTGCTTGTGTCCTTTATAACATTTATATCTCTGGCATAACATTTTATGGCACACATGGCCCGGCCCAACAAAGTGACATTTGTGTCAGATCTGATCCTCGTAACAAATGAGTTCGACACCTCTGTTTTGGAGTGACCCTGTCCTTGTTATTGCCCTACAGCTTTGTGAAGACACGTTCCACCGAGCCAAACTCTTGAATGTAGGCTTCTTGGAGGCCTTGCGAAATGATGAGAGCTACGATTGCTTCATCTTCAGCGATGTTGATCTTGTGCCCATGGATGATCGGAATCTCTATCGTTGTTACGATCAGCCTCGGCACTTTGCTGTTGCCATGGATAAGTTTGGTTTCCGGTAAGTGGACTGGATGGCTCTCTTCTAAATGCTCTCTATAATGTACCGAGTTGTGATGGGAATTGCATCACTTCAGTGGCTGCCTTACCATATACTGAGTCATAACAATGGCTCATGCAACAGACTTTGTCAGCCTGGTAGTCTTCTGTCAATCCCTCTACATGAGATCCATTAATTGGAGATTAAATGTCTGGCTTAGTACACTTTGATCCATTTTGAGACACCAGTGGTCTTTTGAAATTGTTCAGAAGCCAGTGATGGAAAGGTAAGAGACCAACAGGAGGGATATGCCCATTTTTATACATGCATAACATACCCTTCTAATGTAGCATACTTAAATCTAACCCCCTTTGGAGACTCCTTGGATAGGAAGATCCCTCCTGTAGTGCGTGCTTGCGTACCCTGTGGCTTGGGCCTGTGAAGGTTTAGAAGCTTATGAAACTCTTTCATCTGGGACACAATTTAGGAACCTTCCTCATTTTGCTAACCCCAGTGCTGCATTTATTCAAAGCATTTATAGGGTTACCTGGAATTGTTGCATTTTGGAATAGGTTTTACTCTCTTCCTTTCATGATCTGCTGTTCATCTATCCCCACTTCTAGTCCCCCCCCCCCATTTTAGTCTCAACTCTTCATCTGTCCTGCTTGGCAACTTAGAATGTATTTAATAGTACTGTAGCAGCAAATCTTTGTAAATATTATGACAGATTGGGGGGAGTTAATATTTTCCCATAAGCTGTCAGAGTTGTAAAAGCATGCTTCCCCTCCCTCTACCCTTTATGTGCATAATAATAGAATGTTAATCTGCCTTAGTGGTAACAAATGAGGGACAGGAGTTAGAATATTTATTTATTTACTTTTTAAATATCCTGCCTTTCGTCCTAAGGGGGACCCAAAGTGGCTTATATCGTTCTCATCTCCTCCGTTTTACCCTCACAACAACCCTGTGAAGTAGGGTAGGCTGAGAGTGTGTGACAAGTCCAAGGTCACCCAGCAAACTTCCATGGCAGAGTGGGGATTTGAACCTGGGTTTCCCAGATCCTAGCCCAGCATTTTAACCACTACACAAGCTTAGCTTCCATTGCAAATAGCATGGGGGGGGGGGGTCTGGAGATAACCTGGGCCAAGATATTTCGATTCCTTTCATTTTTGGCTCTGGAACTCCCATGATCATCCTGAAGCTGGTGGCCAATTTCGAGATACCTAGTTTTATTTTCTGATAAGCTATGTCTACCACAAATGGACAGACAGATGGACATGCAGACCCTTTTATTATTATAGATGTGTAGTAAGAACCAGCAAAGTAATTTGTTTTGTTATATTTAGTTTGGATCAGGGTCATATGGGGGGGGGGGCTAGATGGAATCTTTGACCGGGGGCCCATGGTAGCTCTCAGCAGCCATGGTTCAATTAGGAAGAAGAAAGTAGAGAATGTAAGGGAAGCATGATGCAGTGAGCAGTGGCTTTACATCACTGTGTTATTTTTCTGACTTGCGGCCAACGACTAGCTGGACCATCCTGGTTCTGTGCTCCTGAGTTCTTTCCTGATCTCTGTCTCTCTCCTGCTTGTCCCTCACAGGCTGCCTTACTCAGGCTACTTTGGAGGCGTCTCTGGTCTGAGCAAGACACAGTTTCTGAAGATCAATGGCTTCCCTAACGAGTACTGGGGCTGGGGTGGGGAAGATGACGACATCTTTAACCGGTATGTGAAAGACTGGGGCAAGCAAAGCCAAAATTTTCCTCTTTGGGATGGTTGGTTTTAATAGCCTGCCTTTTCTATTTGGTGTCTGTTGGGATGGATGGATTGGCAGGGGCCAGTGTCTTTCTCCTGAAGTTTCTTTATTTCATTCCGTTTTTACCCTGCCCCTTTCCTGGCAATTGGGGCTCAGGGCAGTTAACAACTTAAATGCAAAACATAAATTGTTTTACAGAATATTTGTATTTTTATTTATTACACTGGTACTCTGGCATGACAATCAGAAAAGCAGGCCCACTAAGACTGCCTCAGTGGAATGCCTGGAGGAATAATCCTGCAGAGCACAAGACTCTTCAGGCAGAGATTTCCACCAAGTTGGGGCCATGATCAAAAAGGCCCTTGTTCTGGTCATAAGAACATAAGAGAAGCCATGTTGAATCAGGCAAATGGCCCACTCTGTGTCACACAGTGGCCAAAACCTTGATGGCACCTGGGTTTTTTCCACTGTGTGACTCGTGTTGGACTGGACGGGCCATTGGCCTGATCCAACATGGTTTCTCTTATGTTCTTATGACCAGAACAAGGGCTTTTTTCAATTGTGGCCCCAACCTGGTGGAATGCTCTGTCTTGAAGTTTAAGTTAAATGAATTATCTGAGTTGGGGGTAGTTGTGGAAACTACAGCTGCTGACATGCAATAACTAAATTCCAAAGTATATAGTGGAATATCCATTCAAGAGCACAACACAGAGAGAGCCCAATGGAACACTTGTGCCTGTGATCAATGCAGAGCTGCTCCAGCCATTTGGCTGTCTGAGGTACTGTTCTCCTGTGCCACCCCAGTGAGGCTCAGGGCAGTACAAATAGTTGTGGGGGTGGGGTGGGAGTCTCTTCTGCCCCTGCAGCCTCCTTTGACCTGACTAGCAGAGGTACGGGTTTGGGATGTGCCAGTGGGTGCAGACCACAGCCACCACATCTTTTCATCTTGCCACCTTCTGTTGCTTCAACACCTCAAGCAGGCATTTGGGTAGTGAGCTGGCCCTGGATCAATGAAGTTGGTCCTGAAAGCCTGTAGGCTAACCGGGGTGGGGGTTTAATATCTGGTTTTGTGGGTGGTATCAGAATAAAATCCTGCACTTTACTGATCCCTGAGTTGTAACCTCTCTTTGCACAGGATCTCACTTAATGGCATGAAAGTGTCACGTCCTGATGCCCGTATTGGTCGCTATCGCATGATCAAGCATGAGCGTGACCGGCACAATGAGCCTAATCCCCAGCGGTGAGTGAGAGCATCTGTGCTCTGTGTAGCCCTTTGTAAGCCACATGATGAGCTCCTTCAAAGTTTCTGCATAGTCTTCCATTTCTTGTCCCACCTACAAGCCCACTCTCAGTGGGAGAGAAACTTCCTGTAGTAGTATCCCCCATACGGCACAGCTAAGGGACAGGAGCCATACAGTTATGTGTACTCCCATAGGACACCCATGAGGTCAATTTCAGCAGCTTCCCTGCCACAGGAGTTCCGTATTGCTGTGCCATAATGCTGCCATTTTCACTTTGTTTCCCAACTGGCTCTCTGTGGCTTACTCTCAAGAGCAACAGATGTGGATCAGCTAGATGCAGGTCCAGTAGCATCTTGAGAGACCAACAAAATTTTCAGGATATAAGATTTTGAGAGTCAACGGCCCCTTTGTCAGAGGTAGATCAGAATCTTAGTGTAATAGCCATGGTTTTGCACCGTATTTGGCAACCTATGCTGTTCTGGTGCTAGCCAGGGAGCCAGAGACCTCTTGACAAGGCATGTGTGGGTGCGCTGCTGGTTATACTGTTATCCCACCTTAGTGGTACCTCCGGTGACTGCAGAGCTGCCACAGCCTAACTGAAGTGGGGCAATGTCCTAACTTCCTGTTTGCCTTGGTGTTCTAAATGCAGTCACTGTTCACGACACTCCCATTGTGCCATGTCTGCCAGCCCACATGTTCTTCAACAGCATTCTTGCTTTTATCTCTTTCCTACACATCTACCTGTGATTCTCACTATGTGTTCAAAAGAAACAATTTCATCTCAGCGTTACCATGCATGTAAATGAGATAAGGATTGTGAAGTGTTTTCTAGGCTGGGAAAGTTGTATAAAAATTTTTAATAATATGGCAGACTCTCATGCAGTGTGTGCACTCTGACTGGAAATTCCTAACAGTCCTTCCAGATGACTTGAACAACCTCTGGATCTTCCATTTTGTGTATTGTAAAACATTCTTTTGGGTTGCCCTGGCAGGTTCACCAAGATCCAGAATACCAAGGTGACCATGAAACGTGATGGCATTGGCTCGCTGCAGTACCGCCTGGTGGAGGTGTCTAGCTATCCCATGTACACCAATGTAACTGTGGAGATTGGACGTCCACCACCACGCCCCCCTCGGGGTTGACTCTTTGCTGCCTGGCCCTACCCATGGCCCCATGCATGAGGAGCTGTGTGGATCCCAGCCCTGACTGGTTCAGAGGACTGTGTCCTGGCTAGTAGGACCTGTCTGCCTCCTTTGTGGGGATGGGGAAAGGCCCACATGACATCTTTGCCTTGTCCCAGCCTTTGGCTGGTCCCCATCCTTCCTCTCACTAGTCAGTTCCCCACAGTGACCTTCAGCAGGTGGGGAATGAATGTGTTTTACGGTGCCTGGCTCAGTGTGGGGCTTTTGGGCTCTGTCAGGCCCCATTCATGCTTGGAAGGTGCCAAGAACAGGGGGAGCCTTGAGCAGGTCCTTGACCCTCCCTATGCCTCAGCCAGAGCTCATCCTTTCCCTGAACTCTTTGCAGGGCTGTCTCTCTTAGGGATTCCAGAAGTACCATGGTCGTCGTCTTCTTCTTGTAGCCTGCAAGACTACTGCCTTTTGAGTGTTCCTTCCATGGCATTGGTCTTATCTGATTCTGACTGCTGGCTCACAAGGTAGAAAGGTGGTTCATGTGCCCAGTTGGGGAGAGCTCCATTGAAGTCGAAGCTCTAATGGGCCTGGCCACTGCCCACCCTCATTCATGGCTTGGTGCTGTCCCCTGCTGGGCCCTGGATGTCTCTTCTGGCTCCAGTAACACAGGGGTGTTTTATATAAAACCCTCATTAGAATTTTTGAGTGCTTCCTGGGTTAGTGTGGCATGTAGCCAGTCAGCTGGCAATAGGGCAATGGGCACTTCTTCCTCGCAGCAGTTGCTTCTCTGCCCGTGAAAGAGGCAGGTTGGTTGGGTAGTGATGATGCACCTCGCAGTAAGGGTGGATCCAGAATGGTATGGTTTGCCCTACTCCAGCATGGGCTTGTTGTTCATTTTCACAGGCACTAAAGGACCACTGGCCATTCATTGCTACAATGCAGAAGGAAGACCAAGCTGGCTTCTGCTAGTTTTCCCTGATCCACTGCCCTATTCCAGCCACTTTCCCACTCACTAAGCAACCCCTACCCTCTCTACACCATCTGCGAGGCAGTTCTGCCCTCTACCACTCATAGTGCCCTCCTTCTCAAACCCACCATCCACTACTGCAGGCCAGGCCCTTGGATCTGGCTGTCAGCTCATGACACACAGTGGCTCTCTCTCTCTCTCTCTGCCTAGTACACGAAGCTAGGAAGCTGCTGGTGTCCCTTGATACTGGTTACGGTGCCTGGCAGGTAGAATCTCCTGCGTCTGCCCATTTTGGGGTGGCAGCTGGGTGAGGCTCAAAGCCTGGTATTGGCACATTGCACAGCCTGGGTGTTGGTGACTTTTGTATATTTGAATGTTTTGATCCCTTTTCAAGCCTCTGGTGAATGCAGCACTGGTCACTATGACCAGACTTTTGTATTCAATAAAATTTCAAAACTTGGAGACTCCTTGTGTAAAGAATGTGGGTGGGGACCGTACTGGAGGGGAGGGGAAGGTTGGGGATGTTGCTCAGTTGGTGAAGCATCTGCTTCACATCAGAAGGTCCCCAGTTCAATCTCTGGCATCTCTAGTTAAAATGATCAAATAACATGATGTGAAAGATCTTGACTAGGAACCTTGGAGAGTCACTTCCCATCCGTGTATACAATACTGATGTAGCTGGACCAGTTATTTGACTCAGTAGAAGGCTGTTTCATATGTTAGATAACTGTTCATAAGACATAAGAAAAGCCCTGCTGCATCAGACCACTGGTCCAGTGTCCTGTCACACAGTAGCCAACCAGTTATTATCTCTGTCCAACCTCTATGCAGTGCATAATTTATAAATGCGATCGTGTCCCTCCCCAATTAGTTGTTTCTTTTCTAAACTGAAAAGTCCCAGACTCTTCAGCTTTTCCTCATAGGGAAGGTGCTACAACCCTTTAATCTTGTTTGCCCTTTTCTGTGTTTTTCCCAGCTCTGCAGTGTCCTTTTTAAGATACAGCAACCAGAACTGCACACAGTATTCCAAATGATGCCAGTATTCCAAATGATACAAGGGCATTATAATGTTTCCTGTTTTATCTTCAACATTTTCCTTAACCATCCCCAGCACAGAGTTTGCGTTTTTCAACCTGGTAAAGTCTAAATTACAGAGTTAAAGGTGAGACTGTCTCACCAACTGTGGCATATTACGCATCCCTCTTTTTGACCCAAAACAGGCTCGAGATGGTCTAGCCTAAATAACTGGGGATATAGCTGTGTAGCCCAGTTGAGACCAGTTGTACTAGGATCCTTTATTGCTTTTTCCACAGTTACATAGGACAAGATGTTTTATAGGACAATGTTGTATCTCAACACAGCTGCAGTGAAACAAATGGGTAAGAAGTCTGTCTGAGTACTGAGTAATGGTGATGCCTTAAATAAAGGGAAACATTCAAGGGGCTTACCAGCATAGTCTGTGAAGTAGTCCCATGTATAGTAGTTCATTCTACTCATGGGAGAAAGGCAGCGGGGCTAGGTGTGATGCCTGCTTGTGCAGGTAGAAGGTTTTGGCTGGACTGAGGGGTTGGTGAACAGGGACTGTTTGTATGGGCAGGGATTTTAGAAATGTATTGCTTTGGTGGGTTGGCTGAGGAATTGCTGGGTGTTGCAAGCTCAAGCATGGTGTCCAGCTGTAGCCTGGCAGCCTGGTAATAGCTCACATTTGGCTACACGATTTCCTTCCCAGTACCCAGCATCTTGGCCATCGTGACACCGGCAATGCATACAGTGCCCCACCCAGACGCTTTCCCCAGAAGGGATGATTTGACGCTGGCTGCCATCAACATAACAGTTGGGCCCTGTAGAGAAATGACAGCATGTGTTAGAATCTGTCAATATTTACCTTTCAAAAGCCTCTCTGTAAAGCCTAGAAACACAGAGATTCTCCTGAGGGCCACACAAAGTGTGTCTTATCTAGTATCTACTACCCCAGGTTCTTAATATGAAGAAAAAGTCTCAAGTCTTCTTGGAAAGCTTCTTCCCTTACAGCAGGACGGGGGGGGGGGAGATATCTGCTGATGTCAAAGGTGAGTACTACAAACTATGTCAGTCTCTTCGTGAACTCTTAAGCAGATGTTCCCTCTGTTTTATAAGTTGCCCAGCCTTGCTTGCCCCTTGCCCCTTGCCCCCTCTCTTCAGACAGGAACCCTTAACCGATCATGGACAAGGAGTCAGGACTACCACCCCACATGAAAGTTATACATCTGGCATAGTTCCGTAGGCAATTCTCTCACCGTCCTTGCAGGTGGGGCAGCAGTGGCCCTTCTCGTAGACAGGATTGACACATGGTGGAGGAGCACAGTCGGCCACTAGGCAGCGAGCTATGCCATCTATATCACAGGTACACTGTTCACATTCTGATGGCTGTAGGAGAGAAAGGCTGGTCAGGGTGAACATCTGTCCATAGTTTTAGTGTGAGCTAACTGTTGAAAGTGCACTTGCCATGGTTAGACGTGCTTCTTCCTTCCCTCAATGAAAGAAACTACTTGTGACCCAGTCCAGAAACCATCTTCCCTACTATCTCGGCAGATGTTCATGTGGAAAATAAAATGGGTGGAAAGCATGTGTGAAATGAAATGCTGAACAAATATCCATGTAAGGTGCTTGAGGTGGGAGGAAAAAGCAGCCCACTTGAAGCATGTGGAGAGGGAGGAGAAGGGAAAGTCCCAGGGCATGGACGGAAGACAGATAAGGCAGCAACCTTACTGAAGCTACACGCCTGGCCAGGGCCTGAATGGTAGAACTGCTGGCAACCCCATGTCCACTATCTTGCACGTTCCATGAAGGAAAGAGGCATTAACTAAAAATGAGTCATAGTAGTTCTGCTTTTGTTTTGGAAGGCTCTATATATATTGCTCAAAGAGCAAAAGTAGAGGAAAGCAGAGTTCGTCCTGCAGCTGAAAAATATGTGCACATTACATTCCTAGTTCTAGGTTCATATGTACATCCCTTTCACAGAGGAAGACAGGTTTCAATCCCACCTCTACAACACAGAATGGTGTCACTGGGAGTATTGCAGGTAACAAGTTATTCCCAGGACACCCTTATCCTACTCACTGCAGTTCTTGTACAGTCTGTTGTGCAGTATTTGTATGTATGCAGATCTACACGAGGGCTGATTTATATATTGCAAGAGAGTGATTCTGTAATTCCACATTGTGCCAGCCTGGCCATGTCAGTTTTCTATATCACTGAAAGGGAGACAGGTGTACAGACTTGTAGTAAACACACGCTTGAGAGATGTGATTGCTGCATGTCTTCATATATGTGCCTTTGCTTCAAATAACTAGCAAAAAAGTGGGCAGATGTGTGGATCTGAAATCTCTATCTTTTTGTGAAATGTGTAAAATGTAGTTCAAGCTGATTGGTGCAGTTCAGGGATTTCACCAGTAAGTGGCAGTATCACCCTAAACGAATGATTCTATGTTGGAACCTCTCTTGAAATGAAGAGGTTCTGTCCTGCTCTTTTGCCAACTCTTCCTATCTAGTAGTTAGCCTACACGCTCAGATATCCTTGCACCTGGAAATGGGAAATTTACAGGTTATACTAAGATAAACCAATGAGCTTAAATGGTGCTGCCAGTAGGTGTGCACATGGGTGGGGGACTGCCTTAAGTAGCAGTGAAACCATTAGGATCCCAATATGCTAAATAACAATAGGCCCAAGAATATGGGGATTAAGCCCTCCCACCAGCACTGCCAGATCAAACTCTGTTTAAAATACCATGCAGAGGATACTAGCATCTTCCTTCTGTCCCCTCATTTCTCATTCAACCCCTTACTGGCATTCTACTACTGACCACAGAACCACAACAGGGAATTGCAGAGCAGCCACAAGTGCCATTACTTTGCTCCCTCTAGAAAGTAAATGTCTTGTATGCCAGTCTTTGTGTCCCTTTCCTGCCCATCCAGTTCTGGAGCATGTTCACCTTTCCCATTCCCCACCCAAGGGGGAGGCCTCTAGATCCCACCTGCCTGTGTGAAATTCCCTCTCCACTCATAGATCTAGGGTAATGAGAGAATCTTGAATTTCAGTATGTACAGCAAAATGTTTTTTTAAATCTCCCATTTTTCTTGATCAATCCAAATTGACTTTTGTAGTACTAAACATTAATCAGTTCAACAAAGCTTGAGTCCAGTGGCACCTTTAAGACCAACGAAGTTTTATTCAAGGTATGAGCTTTTGTGTGCACGCACACTTCCTCAGATACAATGAAATGGAATTCACCAGTCCATACATATAAGGCAAAGGTTGAACAGCAAATTAGCGGACAACACTTACAACATACTTTGAATAAAACTTTGTTGATCTTAAAGGTGCTGCTGGACTCAAACTTTTTTCTACTGCTTCAGACCAACTTAACTACCCACCTGGATCTAATCAGTTTTGTTAATGACATTTCTTAAGATAATTTGTTTTTTCTAAACCCACCTTAATCCTGCTATTAGCTCTTAGGCAACTGCAAGGTATCCTGATTTCCTGAGCTGCTGCCATGTGGCCCCCAAGAGCAGCTAAATCTGTGTAGGTAGGACAACAGAATTTTTAAAAGGATACCATTAAGGTCCTAACTTTTATCTCTGCCTTCCACAAGAATCTTGAGTGTGGCCAAGACTGGTAGATGGAAGAAGCTAAAGACAGATCACAAGGGACAGTCAATAAATTTAGTCTATTTGATAAAACAGGGAATTCACCTAGGGAGGTGATCTGCCCAATCTGGTCAGCTACATGGACTTGCTCTTTCTGTAGCTATGCACACATTTTTGCATAGCTGCATTCACCCACACATATTTGCAAGCACTCAATTAACATAATTCCTATTTGCAGTTTTGTTTGCAGAACACTATGACATTTATACTTTTAAATTCCATAAATATGCCAGTTTATACGATATTATATGCTAACTAAGTTATAAGGGATGTACTTTAAATTGTTAAATCAGCAAAATAGGTTTAGACTTGATAGGAATGCAAGCACTGCAAATATTTCAGTTTTTCTGAAAACTTCAGTGGGGGAGGTTCCAAAAAAATGGGGAGCAGAACTGGGTTCTTTCCATGACTTAATTTTTGGAAATTTCACATCTCTACAGGAATAGAGATATACAGGAATAGAGATATTTTATATATATATATATATAAAAAATATGTTTCTTACTTTTTCAAATAACATAAACAATTAAAAAACCTTGAGACTGCGACAAGTCAAACAAATTATAAATACAAGTAGGATAACCCAACAATATTCCAAAACCCAGCCACGATAAATAATAAATCTGTATAACAGTATACATTCTGGAGCAGTTTAGGCTAAAATTCTACCAACATACCTTAAACTTTAGAAAATAGCAAGTTGCTTATATAAAAGATTTGTGGGGATTACCTCATATCCAACCAAATAATACAAGGCCAGATACCAGATAGCAACGAATTTAGAATAAGATTGTTGACCTTCCAGGGGTGATAAAGAATGTAACAATTTTGCCATTATAAATTGGTCCCAAATCTTATCATGCCACTGTGAAATAGTGGGAGGGACTTGGTCTTTCCATTTAGTTGAAATTACTAGTGATGCTGCAGTTAACAAAATAGCAATTAATTCTCTAGTTGTCTCCCTTGTAAATAATTGTGGGCAGTAATGTAGTAGCATTGCTTCAGGACTAAGAGGAATCTCGATTGTAGTAATCATTTTAATTCGAGTACGGATTTCTTGCCAAAATTTTTGAATATGCAAACATTCCCACCAACAGTGCTTATAGGAACCAACTTGACCACATTGTTTCCAACAGGTAGGAGGACTAGCAGGATAAATTTGAGACAACCGCTTAGGAGTAAGATACCAATAAGAAAGAACCTTTAAAAACTGATATTTTATATTATATATTTTAGAAACATTACTAAAAGAGGACCATACTGTCTTCCAAGCCAAGTCCGTTGTAGGAAAGCGGAAATTATATATCTTGATCGTCACCCTCTTCGGCAGAACCTGTCTCCCATTAGCTAGTGGAGGTTCACTGTCAAGTGCTTCCCCACCCTGCTGTGCCCAGTAATGCCAAAGATTGTTTGAGCTGACTCAGATTTTAAAATACCCTGTCTGCAATTTTAGCAGTGATAGATAACAACAGCTTTAGGAAAAGGTGTTGTACTGACCAGCAGCAGGCCTAGAAAACAAAAGGGGGTGTTGCACTGGCATTTTTCATCAAGATTAAAGAGCAAGAAATGACTCTGTGTGTCTCCAAACTTGCTCCTTTGTTAGCATTACTTTAGTCCTAGTTATGAGGAGGCTGGTTTCCATAGTTAGAAACGCCTGTCTTGTGCACGTAATATAGTACAGTTCTAATCATACCCTCGAGCTATACTATTATTAATGAATGCTTGACAAACACGCTTGGGAAGCAAGTTTTACACACGCTACTAGTTTCCCCCATCACTCAATTTGACATTTTGGCCTTAATTGATCACTTGCAGACATTAATACCAGAGAAACGGTCACTTCTTCTCACGTGTCTCAGTCCAGCCCCCTTGCCAGAAAGCCGTGCGGGCCCCTTACCTGGAAGTGCTGTCCCAACTCATAAACTTGGCCACGGTGTTCACAGCCGACACGTTCGCAGCGCGGGCAGCAGTCACTGGGGTAGTGGCTGACGTGGATGCAGGCAGGTGGCAGGGCGGTGCAGTCCGTGCGAGCGCAGGCTGGCCCTTCGGGGGTGCACTCGCACTGGGTGCAGTGGTCACTGTCCAGGAAATACCACTCGCCCACGTAGTACAGGCTCCCGTTGGCGTCACAGGTGCTCACGGGCCCCGCCAGGGCTGGGATGAGCCCCAGAGTCAGCATCAGTGCTAGACTCAGCTGTGCCCAGGGGAGACGCATCGCTAGACTCAAGCGGGGCATAAACTGGCTAGGAGCCGTGGCTAATGCGAAGCAGGGGAACGAGGGAAAGGACATCCAGTCCCCCCACGGCCTAACCCACTTGCCGGAGCTCAGAGTCCCACCTGGAGGCTCTTGCAGAGGCTGCAGCCGATACCCGTAACCCTCCCTGGCCAGCCCTAACGTGCCTCGGCCTTTGTGCCGGCGCCTCCCGCCCCTTACTGAAATCCAAGCCCAGCCCGTCTAGGGCAGCGCATCCCCTCCCCTCCCCACCGAGACGGGCGGGAAGGACCCGGGCCGTGGGAGGGACCGGCCGAAGAGCCCCCTGCCCGAGCCTCCTGCGCTGTTCGACTGCACTCAGGCGGCTCCTTGCTCGCCTCCCAACTTCTCCATTCATCCCAATAGCAAGCACCGCGCCCCCCCAAGCCCCACCATGGCTCCTAAAGGCACGAGCAGGGAGAAGTTCATTAACGGCACCGAAGCCGAAGGCAGGCATCTGTTTGTCTCCGATGAAAGCAGGACAAGCACGGCGTTTCCTGAGGCAGCATGCGCGCGCACCCACACACGTTCCCCCAGAACTTTCCTGGGATCCCTTTCTCCACCCCGCTCTTAGGTCTTTGCGACGCGGTTGCTTTAAGAGGCAAAGATTCCGAGGAAAGGGGCGGGGCGTTTCCATGGAGGTGGCGGGTTTATGCTGGCGCGAGGGGGGGCAAAGTATGCGTGTGGCCCGGACTGGTGGAGGCCAGGCCGTCCTTGGGTCTGTAGAAGGAGTGCGGAGCGGCGCGTCCGACAAAGGGGCAAGACCGCGGGTAAAACTAGGTTAGTTAGGTGATGGGGGCACACTGTCAAGAAGATCTCACAAGGGAAGGGAGGTACGGTGGAGGTTGTGGGTTTATTGGGGGGCGGGACAGTAAAGCAGAATGTGTAGAGTTGGGGGGGGGTAGGTAGGAGCGGCATAGAGACTGATGTGGGGGCAAGGGGAAATAGGTACCATATTTGCTGATGGGGAAGAACAAGCCGTCTGATCCTCTGGGAGGGTTATGTGGCGTAGTGGATGTTAGCAGATTGAAAGCAAGGAATTTCTTCCTGTGGCTGATCTATGGCTTGTGCTAGAGTAGTCTGGGTCCCCTATCTTATCTACACTTTCCATTCCCTGCTCAATCTGCACCACCTTTTATTTCCTTTAAAAAACAGACCTTTATTCTGAAGTTGAACATTGCCTCTATGTTGCCCTTCCTTGATCCGTCTGGGCAGCCCTTGCAACCAGTGCCATCGCTCTGGAGGATGGTGGAGGAACAAGTAGCACCCAGTGAGAGGCTTGAGGTGAAGACCATCTTGGGGGATGATGGTGTGGAACGGAGCTTGGAGCTGCATGCTGAGGTTAAGTACAGGGACTTTGTGCCTTTCTCCAAATGGGGGCTGTAGGCCAGGGAGTTCTGTGCTTTTCGTTTCCCTATCTTTCGCAGTTGAGAAATGTTCCTGAACTATACCCAAGAGAGCCACAGAAAACAAGGACAACACAAATCCACAACCCTTCCCCACATTGAATGGGTAGCTTCTTACTAGTGGCGGGTGCTAAAGGAGCATCTGTATGAAGAATCAAATCAAGATTTCTTGAGCTAGAGAGGTAAAACTAGTTGTCCAAAAAGGGATTGGTTGTTTAAAGGGGCTCCCTTTCCATGCAAACACATGCAGGCTGTAGTAGAGTCACGCTTTCCATTTTATGTGTTGTCATCTATGTCTGTTTTTCTGATACATGATGTGGAGGACAAATACCCCGTGGACAAGTCCTAGTCTTGGACTTGGTACAATTTAGCACATTATTGCTGAGAGGACACAATTGTAGTGATAAGATTATATCTTTTGCCAAAATTCCTAGGTTTGCCAGTATTCCAAGTTTGGAGTGAATTTTCTTTTTCATTTCAATGCCATATTTTATGTATGTGATGTTATTTATAGTCTGTCTTTCTCACAGGGACTCAAGGCAGATTACACATAGTGAGTCAGTACAATCCACATAGAAGGCACCATGGTTCCATAATGTCCCTTTTTGTGTTGCTTTTGAAAGGCATATCAATACTACTGTGACTGACAAGTTTGATGATTTATACAAAAGCGATCTAATATCCATCTGTCTCTAAAGGAGGACCTGTTGTGACTGTGCTTAACTCATGTTTATAAATGATGCTTAAGTCACTTTTTGTTTTTTGTTTTTATGTAAAGTTAATGAAAATGGAGTAGTATGTCATCGAAGCCCAGATCATTTCAATCTCCCTCTCTAATATTCCCTTCTGTCATTTTGATGTTCTGACATGACAAAGAGTCTATTATTTCCATCCAAATCCTCTTCCCTCCCACCTTTATCACTTTTCTTTTGCTCTTTCTATTTAAAAATATTCTAAGGCAATTTATGATCAGTAATCCTGGAATCATCTTTGATTTCTGTTTCCCTCTGTTCCCATGTTCAAGCAGTCAACAGATCCTGCTGCTTTTCAGCATCTCTGAGATCTGTCATGGATAGCTAAAATGTGTCCATGCTACCTCTCCATACTGGCTCTTCTTCTGGCTGGCCTTCTCTGTCGTTCTTCCCTTTCAGTATTGTTCAGAACGTCTCTGTCCCCCACTGTTATGACTGTTCCATCGTGTCCCTGCACAGGTTCCCCATCCTGCTGCTCTATACCGGTGCCATGGTTTTCACTTTTGAAGTCTTCCACCTTTAACCCCCAATTGCAGCCCACTTCGCCTTCTGTCGTGGAGCTGCCCATTGTTGGAACAGCTTTTCTGTCTCATGAGGGCCCTCTCCAGGTCCTTTCTCAAAACCCACTTTTAAAATGAAACTTCTGCTTATTTTACTCTGAGCTTCTTGCTCCTTTCCTGTTATGTGATGCTTCTAGCTTACTTCGTATTGTTGGTTCTTGATTTATTTCCTTTTATTTTTATCCCGCCCTCCCCGCCAGGCAGGCTCAGGGCGGCTTACAACATATTTGTAATACAATAAAACACACAGTATTTAAAAAGGTAAAACAGTAAAAGCCATCATAATTTCAAAGTGTTAGTAGTACAGGTAATAAACGATGGCAGCGTTCTTCCAGCATCCAGATGACAACAACCACCATTGTCCAGGTCCTTGCCAGGCTATTAGATGTTGATTTGACCCTGATGTTGGTACTAGTATTGGTATTGGGGAGCCTGGTGGAAGAGCTCCGTTTTACAGGCTCTGAGGAATTGTAACAGGTCCCTGGTGGAAGAGCTCCATTTTACAGGCTCTGAGGAATTGTAACAGGTCCCGCAGGGCCCTGATGTCCTCCGAGAGCTCATTCCACCAGTACAGGGCCGCCACAGAAAAGGCCCTGGCCCTCGTCACAGCTAGCCTGGTTTCTTTAGGACCTGGAAGGGCCAAACGATGTTGGGACCCTGATCTTAGTGCTCTCTGGGGAATATGTGGGGAAAGACAGTCCCTTAGGTAAGTAGGTCCTTGACCATATAGGGCTTTAAAGGTAAGAACCAGCACCTTGAACTGAATCCGGTATGCTATAGGCAGCCAGTGCAGTGCTTTTAGGGCAGGCTGGATGTGCTCCCGCATAGGGAGACACAACAACAGCCTCGCCGCAGCATTCTGCACCAGCTGCAGCTTCCGGATTTGGGACAAGGGCAGCCCCATGTAGAGAGCATTGCAGTAATAAAATCTTGAGGTCACCATTGCGTGGATCACTGTTGCCAGGTCATTGCTTTCAAGGAAGGGAACCAACTGCTTAATCAGCTGCAGGTGGTAAAAGGCAGACCGCAGTGGCTGCTACCCGGGCCTCCATTGTTAAGGAGGCATCCAGGAGCACTCCCAAACTCCTAACCTCCGGTGCTGGCACCAATGGTGCCCCATCGAAGGTCGGGAGAGGGATCCCTAGCCTTGGCCCACTCTGACTCAGGCACAGGACCTCCATCTTTGTCGGATTCAACGCCAGGTCCAGCTCTCCCGGACTAGAGTTTTGCTGGCCGTCCAAAAACAGATAGAGCTGGGTGTCATCCGCATACTGGTGACAACCCAACCCATATCTCTGGGCAAGGGGGCGCATGTAGATGTTAAATAACATCGGGGAGAGTACTGCCCCCTGAGGCACTCTGCAAACAAGTGGGTGCCTTTGGGACAGCTGTTCCCCCAGTGCCACCCTTTGTCTCCGACCCTGAAGGAATGAGGAGAGCCACTGCAAGGCAAACACCTGAATCGCAGTGTCGGCGTGCCGGTGGGTCAGTAGTTGATGGTCGACCATGTCGAACGCCACCAACTGGTCTAACAACAACAACACTGCCTTACCGCCTCCATCCAGGTGCCTCCGAAGGTCATCTGTGAGGGTGACCAGGACTGTCTCTGTCCCATGGTCTGGTCAGAAACTGGACTGGAAGGGATCTAGTGCGGAGGTTTCATCCAAAAAACTGCAGCTGAGTTGCCACTGCCCTCTCAATCAATTTGCCCAGATGGGGCAGGTTGGATACCGGCTGATAGTTGGCTAATTCGGCCGAGTCCAAATATGTTTTTTTCAGGAGAGGGCAGACCACTGCTTCCTTTAGTGCACCAGGGAACAGTCCCTCAATGAGGGACTTATTGATGATCTCCCATAGTGTACCTCGTAGCCCATCATGACCTGCTCTCTTGGGCCGAGAAGAGATCATATCATTGGGTGTTTTGATACACACCCTGGCACATCACTGACACTGTAGAGACATATGCTACCAGTAGTGAATTTGTTTCTTTTGCTTTCAGCCTAATATTCACAAATAACACCTTCCAACTTAAGTGTACGCATTTTTCAAAACTTACATGAGAAGCATTGCTAAGGGCCCATTCAATGCACACTATTTTTTAATGGTGGAAAGTTCCATCAAGTCACAGGTGACTTATGGCAATCCTGTAGGGTTTTCAAAGTAAGAGACATTCAGAGGTGGTTTGCCATCGTCTGCCTCCACGTCATGACCCTCGTATTCCTCGGAGGTCTCCCATCCACATACTAAGCATGATCCTGCTTAGTTTCCAAGATCAGGCTAGCCTGGGCTACCCAGGTCAGGTCACACTATTTTCTAGTAAAGTATTATTGATACTGCTGTAAGTAAGCCACATGTGTATCATCAAATGAGAGAATGCACTCATCTGTTTCACTAAGTGCACATGCAGTAGAAACCTGAGGCTAGTTGCTCCTTCCCACTGTGTGGGCCTGTGGCCAATTTTTTCATAAGGCAACCATGTGTATTCCAACACAGAAGTAAAGTCTGAGTAGGAGACTCATACTCTGTGAAGCACCCCTTTTGGCGTTTGGATCTGGCAGCCTGAGTTGCTTTCTCAGTCCTGTGTGGATCCTAAGAAAGGGGCAGTATCTCTGTTGTTTGAAGGTGAAATGGTATGGGAGTGAGAAACATTGCAGTTGCCTCAGCCCCTCCTTTGTCTGTGGGGTCTCCATTTGCCAGCCTCCAGCTCAGCTGCTTTCTAGTGCTTGGCCAGAGCACCTAATCCATGTTAGTCTAGGCCTTTTGTTCTCCAGGCATTCATGCCCTTTCCCTATTCAGCGTCCTCCTGACTGGGGCTGAGGAATACCAGTAAACAGCCTGAGGCTTTTCACATGGAAATGGCCCTACCTCCCTCTGAAACTAGAAGACCAGCATACCCTGACCACCTGGCTGTGGTTCTGACACTCTTTAAAAAACTCTTTCCTGTGACACAACTCTGTGTTTAGGGCCTTACTTGGATCCCTGTGCCCAAAGCCAAGCGTACAGGTTCCCCCACACACACACAGCAATCCCCATAAGGAGCCCCTCACCTGCATTTTTGTTACTACTTCATCTGAAACCTAAGGAATGTAGCCAGAGAGTTGCCTGTCTCTCTGCTTTCACTTCCTCACTTGGTTTTTGTCTATGCACCCCTCCCCTCCCCTCCCCTCCCCAATTAGAATATCTGGGAAGCTGCCCAGGGCAGCAGCTGTGCTGTGGCAGTCCCCTTGTGGATGAATGGGGCCAGAAAGGGAGCTGTGGAGCATGTTTGTCCTTCAAGTGTCCCATATTATGTCGATTGTAGCCAGGAGTATTTTTTGCAGCATGACCTTGTCTTTCCTCACAAAGGAAGGGGGGTGTTGTCCTCAGCATTATGCCTTTTATGGAGTATCAGTAGTGCACATGGTATACAGTGCTGTGTCCTCATGCCACCTACTGTGGGCAGTGTTCTGGGCCAGCCAGGAAATGGAGGGTGGGTGGGTTTATAATGTTCTGAGGATTGGTATTTACGAAACAAAACATCTCTGACCATAGAATGCTTTCCACATAACTCTCAGTTCTGTGTCTTTAGGTAGATCATGAAAGTGAATTTGTTGTATTCTTCTTTGTTATGTGTTGACCCAAGTGAGCATGAGAGCTTGTTCTGAGACTATATTGTAGGCAGACAGAGAGCACCCAGTCTGGCAAACCAAAAAGGATCTCCTTCTGCAGGCTTTTGCTTAATTACCAGCACAGCCTGTTGCTGTCAATGGGGACTGATGATGCAGAGTAAACAATGCACATGAACACATGAATCTGCCTTATAATGACTCAGGCCATCAATCCATCAAGGTCAGTATTGTCTACGCAAACTAGAGCAGCTCCTCGGGGTCTCAGGCAGTGGTCTTTCTTTTCACCTCCTACCTAATCCTTTTAACTGGAGATGCTGGGAGTTGAACTTGGAATGTTCTGCATGCCAAGCAGATGCTCTGCCTTTGGGCCACAGCCCCTCCTCCGAATTTCCTTCACTGTCTTCTGTCCTCCGTTAACCATCCCTAAATGATGCCATGTTTTTAAAAAAATCTTTTCACTTCCTTCTTCCTTTTTCATATTTTGCTTGCACAAGCACACACATTCCAAATATCACACACCTAGCAATTTTTTTCTAACACACATTTTAACACCATAATATATTTGTCAACTGAGTCTAAACATTGTCTTATTATGAAATGTTGACAATTCCCTGAAAAAGAATGAACTCTTCAGTGGTGTGTAAAGAAAAAGCAGAGTGCTGGGACAGGCGGTTGAGGGAGACCTGAGAAGAGAAGGAAGCAAAGCAGCACAGAAAATAATCAGGGCAGCTGGGAGGAGAGGTGGAACTGAACGAGCAAAGATGAATTCGAATGAGGGGTGGTATCTGAGAAGTGAGAGAATGGAGGGCAAGCAAGGAAAGGTGCTCTTGGTCGTCAAGTCCCAGGGGAATGTGCCGGAGAAGCAAGCGCATGAGTGTGACATCTTAACCTTCTCACAACTTTGAGGCAGGGCATATTCTGGGAACCCAGACCCCATCGTTACAGGTGTCACAGTTCTTGGGACCATTGTAACTGCCTGCCGCAATATCCAGAACACACAGGCTTTTTATTCCCATGTCCCCACTGTTTGCCCTTCTGACATTGGAGTGAGTTTCTGAAATATTGCTTGCTGGCATTTGTATGCATTTGTCTCTGTAGTAAGGGGCAGCTAGCTCAATTTGCAGGTAGGAGTAACTGTCATGTTCTGATAGGAATAGGGTTGTCTTTTGCTACTGTGTTTGACTCTCTTCATGTAGGGAGGTGGAAGGGGATGATGAGTTGCCTAGGAGAAAGAGTTTGCGGTTTGTGACAGCATGTGCATTGTAGTACACTGTCCCTAATCCAGGCTGAATCCTTCTGCACTGACAGGTGCAGACTCTGCTGGAATTCTATCAGGAGATACAGCTGGACCACTCAAGACTGGAACGGAGCCCTTCACAAGCAGTTGGCAGCTTGCTTGCTGCTCCACCCCACCTTAAGGAGCTGATGAGGGAAGAAATCCGCCTTCTTCTGAGGAGCCTCCAGCAAAAAGCATTACAGGAGGGCAGGTGGGAAGACCCACTGTAGGGAGAGAGCAGCGGGACCCAGAAAACCCTACATGCTGAAACCTCTTTGAGGAAGGAATGTATCTGCTTGGTCTCTTGCAGTGCCATCCTAATGTCAGTGTGTTTAGAAGGGCGTAACTGTACTTAGGATGGTGCTGTAACTGGTGGTAGATCTGTATGTGGAGATGAGTGTTTTTAATCGTTTGCCCAGGGCAGGCCTGTCTAAGGTAAGCCAGAATGTTATGGTACTGTTCCTGCTATGCTTCCCGAGATCCCAGAACCAGTGCAGTCTATAATCAGTGCTTGGATGCTTTGAACTTGAATGTGGTTGCCACTCAGTTGGCCAGTGCCCAGCAAGTGGGCTTGCAGAGAGGTGTCTGTGGGGGGTGTTGAGTGACTCCCTTGTCTGTACTGCAGTCCTGCCATTCCAAAGCAGGTTTCCTGTTTGTTAGCAAAAGTTTAGAGATGGGTGTGTCACTCTAGTGTTTTTTCTTAGTCATTAGGTGTTTCCCAATTGCATAGGATAGCCCTTTGGGTCCAAGCACATGTTATTTGTCATTCCCCTGGCATCCTCCATGCAGAGATCTGGTGGTGCACCCCCTCTCCAT